ATGCGGCTCTGAATGAGTGAATGAAATCGGACTTGGGCAAACTCTAACGGCATTCTACAAATATGCAAACGCAAAATAATAAGGCAGAAAGAAAGCGACAAATTACGTAGCCAGCATGCTAATGCCCCTCTCTCTAACGGCACTTCGTACAGCCGGCTAAAAGCCACGCTCCTCACAACCCGCTCCACGTCCTCTTCCTCTTCTTCTCCTAAACCGTGAGAGTGGCTGTGTGTGCTTGTGTGTGTTTCACTTGTGAAAGCTGGAAACGGGTTTTCTATTAGCATTACTTGGCGGCAAAAGAATGAAGCACGACACAACACCAACAAGAGAGAGCCGAGCCAAAGACAATCCGCTCTTTAGCGGGCAGCCGTAGTGGTAGAACCCCAACAGCACTCTGGCGCTCTCTTGGCTCTCTTACGTGGAGCTCTCCCGCTCCGACACAAGGCAGTCGGCTGGTGCATTGACCCCACATCGCGCTGACCCACTTACGAAGCTGCTTTTGCGAATGCGAATTGCCGAGGCGCGCTCGTGCCGCTACCTCGCGAACAACTTGTGCAATAGCAGCCTCGGCAGCAGCGGCAACGAACGCTGCTTCGCTCTCTGCTTTGACCGACTGCTGCGCACAGTGATTCGAGCGGGCCGCAAACCGGAATGAAATTGGTTGCTGTCTAATGAATAAGCAAAGTATATTGCATTTACTAAAAAATAAGAATAATAATAATAATAATAATAAGTAATGGAATAATATATTTACTTGATTTCTAGTAGTTGTACTCGTGAAAACTGACTTTATTCCATCTGAACATCAGAGTACATGTTTAAAAAAGAATTGAATTTAAATTCAAGCTGTTCCACTGTGTCGGAGGTATTATGTGTTTTCTTTATAGCACTGCTATAGTTTCTGGCGCTGTTATTGTTATTTTTTTTGGCTTTACGTTCGCCGCACTGCCAAAAACTGCAATTCATATGCAGCAGCTTCTCTCTGTCTCTCTCTAGCTTCTCTCTCCTCGCTCTCCTCTCTCTGTCTCTTCACACATGTCGCTGCATATTAATTTTCGTATACATTTGTATTTGTATGGGTGTTTGCTCCGTTTCTTCGGTGCTGTGCTGCTTTTTTTCGAGCATGCATTTGCAATAAAGAAGAACATATTAATTTTGACTTCTGGTTATTGCTGCACCCAGCAGAAGCAGGGCAGGGGCTGGGGTGGGGTGGAAAGCCGCGGGGCAGTGCAAATGAAATGCATATATGCAAAATATTTCAGCCTTTTCTCGTTTTCCCCAAGTGCGACTGTCCGTCCGTCCGGGTTGCCTGTGTGTGTGGTGTGTCAGTTGTTGGCGGTTTCCCATTCAGAATTTATTTTATTAAGCGCTTTTTGGTCAGCGTTTAATTTTGTTTGCTGCGCGAAGGAGCTGCTGGTGTCGCAGCGGCCAGTGTGACGTGTGACGCGTGGAGCTGCCTGGAGGAGGCAAACTTGTTGGTTGGTCAACAGCCACTGCAGGTTTTCCTCTGTCACGCCGCCTCTTTCTCCTCTCCAAAAGCACTTGATTAACGGTAACTGGTTTTCCTTCTGCATCGGACCGCAGCGCGTGTGCGTGTGCGTGAGCGGAACACAAGTGCAGGGATGATTCGATATTACCCAATAGCTGACTGGGTGCGAATCCATTCGCGATGCTGCACACGGTATCGGTTTGATAATTGCCCATCAAATACATATGTACAAATTAATCTACTACTGCATCAATCGTTGATCGCTTTGTAATGTAGTAAACATTTTAGCAATATGAACTAAATCAAGGGCAAAGCTTAAACGGCAGCATAGTACGCTGAACTCGGTACAGTGTTGACCCTACCAACACCTAGTCAATAGTCATATTCCTAAGAAATAACTAAAGACCAACAAAAAAGATATAATAGATTTTCAAAATGATTGTTATGTGAATATTTTGTGGAAAACCGTACCGAATGAATCCTCTTCTATTCATTATGTTCTTGGCTCTACTCCTTAAAAGTCGTATATTTCCAATATCTATCATACATGTCATAAGAATCTATTTATAAGAATCTATCAAATAATACATAGTGTATCCGTGAGACACAATTAATTCAACGTGTTTTTTGGCTTCTACCTTTTTCGAATACGCGTAAACAAACAAATTTCAACCAATATTTGCTTTCATTTCAAGAAAAGTATGTCATACATTTGTTTTCTCGCCGACTATATGTACATTGCACAGAAATGGCAAATAAAACAATAAAATGTATATCATGACACACTTTTCCGAAGCCGTATTCAACAAATATGTATGTATATGACAGCGGTATTTGTTAAACCCAATTTTGATAAAGTTAGGTTAAGCAAATACGACATTCCTGCGAATTCTAGATGGATGGTGTAAAAGTCAGATTTGGAGACGGATACTAGTCGTCACAAAATCACTAGATCTCTGATTGTCATTAAAATAAATTTCATATTAGAAGAAATGTTCTTAAGTACATTACAAAAGTAACTTAAAAGATTTCATTTGATATATTGGTGATATTTTCTTTCAAAAGATGTCGATAATTCTGTTCTATCAGAAATATCGGTCCTAAATTTCTTCGTGGTATTTTATAAATTTATGCTTTGATCGGTTAATAATTAATAATATTAATTTATTTTTCGGTCCAGTAATGTAATTTTTCTTTCAAAACCCTTGCGGGTTCTAATGAATGTCGTTGCATTGAGGTTTCTTTTCAAAACGTAGTTAATACATAATCGTACAAGTGTAACCGCTATCCGTTGAATTACCGATTTCATGGACTGCATACAAATGAGCTTAAAGCGCCCTCCCCTCGCCACTACCCCCGCCACTGCTGTGCGGAGGCACGGAGCTTTGCATATTCATTGACTGAACATAGCGGTATGTGCGCCACTCTGCCTCTCTTTCCGCCGCTCTCTGGTGCAGTGCAGCTACCGCCGTCTTATCTGTCGAGGCCCCATAAACACGCACAGGCAGGGCCGTACTTCAGGCTGAGAAGATAAAGATTTATGTTGGGCTTTTGGAAAAGCCGTACAAAGCCATTCCATTTCCCCCAGTGTTTCGTAATGCCCGAGAATCATACAACTTTAAAGCGCTTTAAGTGACCCCGTCACCCGTCACCCTCCACCCACCAACCACCACCCGCCACAGCCCAATACATGGCATAGCCCACTGGTGACGACACACATTTTGAGCGAGCCAACGACAATAATTAAATACATAGCTGGCCCTCGGTTGCATTGGGAGAGTGCTTTCGGCTCTCTTCGCTCAAACACATCGCGTAGTGTATTAAGAGAGCCAGCAAAGAGAGCCCAGAGCTAAGAGTAAAGAGCGGAGAACTTTCCTTTCGATTCTGTTTTGGTTTTCTTTTCCTCCGCTCGCTGAGAATGTTTACGAGTGTGTGCATCGGTATCTGTGTGCTTGTATGCCTGCCCGTGTGCGCTGTGAGATACTGCCGTGCGGGGAAGGTTCATTGACACTTGAAAAACATTCAGTCAGTCACTCACACTCTCACACTCTCGCACAGGGAGACTGACAGTCACAGGCTCTCTCCCGCTGTCGCTCATCATCTGTCACACATTTCTCCGATCCGATCCGAGCAGCGGCTGGCTTGCCTGGCACATTTTTCAAGCCGCGTTGTGTTTTGATTATACCACGTCTCTGCTGCTGCTGCTGCTGCTGCTGCTGCTGCCGCTGCTGCTGCAGCGTCTGTGTTTGTCAGCGTTTGGTTCAGCGCGCAGCGTACGTTCATCTCATCCTCGTGGGTAAATACGCAAAAGCGCCTATATTACACAATGGTCTCCACCAGACGAGACCAAGCTGCTCTCTCGCTCTATCTTTCTCGTTCGCCTATAAGTGCAGCACTGTCCGACAAACTTTGGGAGCGCGGCGGTAATGTAACATATTGCATTTGATTCTTCTGGTACAAATTAAAACTTAAAATATGCTGTATAAATTAATTGAAAATCAAAGCAAAACGAAATGCTCTCAATTCTGTTGTGTTCGCCGCTTTGGTATCCAACATTTTGTCGGCTAGTGTGCGCTGCTGTAAACTGCAGCAAATTCTCACTTTGAACCAGTTCTCAACCAACGATGCCGCACTGCTCTGCCGTAGTTGATCAGGAAGTTGCATCATCGCTGAAGGGATTGCAGCAGGGGAACCCCAAACAGCTGTCGCACTACTATACCTTCCCCTTCCTCTCCGTGCCCCTGCTCCGTGCCCCTCTGCGGTTCTTTTTGTCTGGGCAGACAAGTGGCTTAAGGTACACGGGCATTGTGTTGCACGGATAATACATTACACTATTGCGCAATAGTTCCTTGGGGTCGATTCGGCATTGTCTGGACTCCGACAATGGTGGAGGGGGGCAGTGGGAAATCCATTGACTGGAGTTGCGGGGCGTTTTCTATTGGGATTGGTTTTTGTGGCTATACGAAGGGCATGGAAGCGGTTTCTATCCCAATCTAAAGACAGCCTTTAAATCAAATTACTTTTCAAGATATTCCCAAATGGGTTATAAAATAGCGGAAAGATTTACTCCGAGAACAGCTTCTCCCTAAGTGGAAGAAAAGGGATAACTTTTTACAACTTTTTTGCTTTACAAGAATCAACAAGCAGGCGATGGCAGATACTCTGACACCATTTATGATTAAAGAACGTTATCTTAAATTACACATTAAAGAAGATTTGTCTTTGGTAGCACAAGTGTCAAAGGAGGATAGATGGACCAATTTATTGTAATTACGGCAAAGGGTACGGAATAATTCATGGTCGGATCAGTTAGAAAGATAGAGTAGAAGATGAAGAGGAAAGTATTGCCCATTCGGGCGGGACGAAACCGCAATACCAATAAGACTGATGAAAAGTTTAGTCCTACGGCTTTCCAGAGGGTGGATGTTAATAAGACGCAGCCGACTCTATATAACTATAATTGCAGTATTTAATAGTATTCTAATTCAATATTCGAATCTGTCTATTCCAGCTCAAATTGAGATAATTCCATGCAAAGTCTGCGGCGATAAGTCATCGGGAGTGCACTACGGCGTGATCACCTGCGAGGGCTGCAAGGGGTTCTTCCGCCGCTCGCAGAGCTCCGTCGTCAACTACCAGTGTCCGCGCAACAAGCAATGTGTGGTGGATCGCGTTAACCGGAACCGCTGTCAATACTGTAGACTGCAAAAGTGCCTAAAGCTGGGAATGAGTCGGGATGGTAGGTGGCTGCTCCGTTCCGGAGAGTTCGGAAGGTGTTGATGCTCTCATAATGACCTCTTCTTTGCAGCTGTAAAGTTCGGCAGAATGTCCAAAAAGCAGCGCGAGAAGGTCGAGGATGAGGTGCGATTCCACCGCGCCCAGATGCGGGCCCAGAGCGATGCGGCTCCGGACAGCTCCGTGTACGACACGCAGACGCCTTCGAGCAGCGACCAGCTGCACCACAACAGCTACAACAGGTGCAGTATGACCGATATGAGAATGATCCTCCATATTGATGCGTTTGTGTGCACCACCCGACCCCCATCCTGCTTCTGCTCCTGCTTTCACTTCCATTTCCACCATCTTTATCTCTTCTCTGGTCTTCTCTTTCTTTTCATCCCTGCCCCGTCCTGCAATGCTCCTCTTGTCACTCAGCTACAGCGGCGGATATTCAAACAACGAGGTGGGCTACGGCAGTCCCTACGGCTACTCGGCCTCGGTGACCCCCCAGCAGACCATGCAGTACGACATCTCGGCGGACTACGTGGACAGCACCACCTACGAGCCGCGCAGTACAATAATCGATCCCGAATTTATTAGTCATGGTAAGTGGATCCCATCCATAGGAATGCTTTGCCCCTCATAATGATAAATGATAAATCGATACCCTGTATTTCAGCGGATGGCGATATCAACGATGTGCTGATCAAGACGCTGGCGGAGGCGCATGCCAACACAAATACCAAACTGGAAGCTGTGCACGACATGTTCCGAAAGCAGCAGGTGAGAGATGGGATGCGATGCCCCCGCCCAAAAGTATGCCACATAAATTGCAAATACTAATCGTACTACTTGTACTCCCATAGGATATATCGCGCATTCTCTATTACAAGAATCTGGGCCAGGAAGAACTCTGGCTGGACTGCGCCGAGAAGCTGACGCAAATGATACAGAATATCATTGAATTTGCGAAGCTCATACCGGGATTCATGCGCCTGAGTCAGGATGATCAGGTGAGAGCCATACCCATACAAATACCCTAACTGTCCTCTGATTGATCAAATGCTAAATGGATGCTTCTTGCCCAGATATTACTGCTGAAGACGGGCTCCTTTGAGCTGGCGATTGTTCGCATGTCCAGACTGCTAGATCTCTCACAGAACGCGGTACTCTACGGCGATGTGATGCTGCCCCAGGAGGCATTCTACACGTCCGACTCGGAGGAGATGCGTCTGGTGTCGCGCATTTTCCAAACGGCTAAGTCGATAGCCGAACTCAAACTGACTGAAACCGAACTGGCGCTGTATCAGAGCTTAGTCCTGCTCTGGCCAGGTAAGTTGAATCACTCGTGAATCCCACCTTGCCATTGGCTCACTTCGAACTCTGTTTGTAGAGCGCAATGGAGTGCGTGGTAACACTGAAATACAGAGGCTTTTCAATCTGAGCATGAACGCAATAAGGCAGGAGCTGGAAACGAATCATGCGCCGCTCAAGGGCGATGTCACCGTGCTGGACACACTGCTGAACAATATACCCAATTTCCGGTAGGTATTCGTAGTGCGTCTAAGTAGATCCCTCCTATATCCATGTACCTGTGTATAATCGGTAATCTTTAACCGGATCTTTGCAGCGACATCTCCATCTTGCACATGGAGTCGCTGAGCAAGTTCAAGCAGCAACATCCGACCGTGGTATTCCCGGCGCTGTACAAGGAGCTGTTCTCAATAGATTCGCAGCAGGATCTGACATAACAAGAACAGCAACAGCTCATGGAGACGTCCGCGGATGATGTTGCTGAGGATGTGGGTGCCACGGGGTGTACCCTGCCCCATGAACCTGCCCCTGCCCCTGACCCTGCCACGCAGCAGTCGCTGCTCGTGGACTGATCACAGGACAGCAGCAGGAAAAATAGCAACAGCAGCAAATACAACAACTTTATCATGATTTAAGCTAGCATACAACCAAGGATGTGATCCTCGCCAAGGACTCACTTAAAAAAAGAACTCTATATATATATGCATATATACATTATATATGACAGAGCGAAAGAAAGAGAGAGAGAGAACGCAAGGGAAGGGAAAATATTTCAAAAATATTTGTTACTCAGTTAAGACTTTTTGCTTCATAGAGAAACCAATTGCATTTCGAGCAAGGGGCTTCAAGTTTTCGATTTTCGAGGTTACGCATCCAGTCCCGGTCCCACACCCATCAACCCCATCAGGTTATCCCACGAGTATCCCCAGGCAAGCCCTGACCAAGTACTTAAAGATTCAATGACGACAGACCCATGCCCTCTGCTCCACGCACACGCCCAAGCCCAGGCCCACGCCCAAGCCCACGCCCACTCCCGCCTAGGTTTTCTTCGCCTTTCGTTGTAAACTGAAGAGTACATATGTATGTGTATTATATATGCAGGAGATGTATGTATAACTATGTCTTATCGGCTATGTGCACGCATATAGGCCGTATTTCTTTGTAAACAACAAAATCGAATATCTCGGAAAATGTGTTCTTATAATTATATTGATTAATGCAATTACAATATATTTACAATTTACCGTTACGTTTTTACATTTTACATTAGACGATGACGGAGAGGATAGAATAAACGGATAAGCGGATAGGAGGATAAGAGAATACAGAATCGAGAGAAGAAAGCGGAATGCAGAAAAACAAATAAGAAAATTCAAGCAAGCACATAAAAGTATGCAATATTTTGTTTAAAAACAATTTTTTATTAATTTCTTATATATAACATAATTACGTACATACACACACACACGTATATATAGCACTATATATATACAAATATATATATATATATATATATATATACATGATAGACAAATCCCAATCCGGTTCCAAGGTTTAGTAAAAATAAAGAAAAAGATAAAACAACAAGAAAAACCAACAATTTTTGATATGAAATCCTACGCATAATTACGAAACTTTTATTGTTTATAAGATAAAAACTTAAATACAAAAACAAAAATTAATAAATTAAAACAGACTGACGGACGGACCCTGACAGCATGCCCCCCTCACCCCTCGCCCCACGCCCCACTCACGCCTTCACAAAGCCCAAAAAACAAATAAATAAAAAATGAAAGAAAATCTTCAAAAATTAGAAAGACAAAAGAAACGGCAACTTTTTGGTTGATATATACATAAATATATATACATTTATATAACTGACTGACTTTACAAAGACGATACACACACACACAGAAAACATGCTTACATTATATAAATTAGTTAAACTTAGTAAATAAAGAAACCAACAACAAAAACAATTGGATAGTAGGTGATAATTGGTGTGTCTTAAATACCCCCCCTACCCATCCCTTTTCCCCCTTCCCACTCCCGCTTATGCCCCCCCTTCCCATCAGCCTGCTACACTGTCATTTTGTACTAAATTTTAAATTAAAACAAAATCAAAATAGTTTTTGGTGAACGTAAAACAAAAATTCATCAGGCAGGCATAATTATTAATTACCATTAATTATACGAGTAACAAAGGAAAATTATGATTAAAATGTATACACAACAACAACAAAAACAAACAAAAAAAAAAACAAAAACGAAAAAATACCAATAAATTACATTTTGCAATTCCACAAAAAAAACTAAACAAAAATATATAGAAAAGCGCAGAAATAATTTTTGTGAGTTTTCGCTGAGATCCTTTCCACACCCACACCCACAACCACACACACACACAACCGCGCGCAGCAAAGCTTACACTAGCCAACATAGAACTGGGGACAGGGACGACAATTTGTACTTCAATTGCGAAACTCTGTGGGTTTTTGGTGCAGTCAATCGATTGGACGAAATTTCAGTTCGACATTTTTGGCCTTAGAAAAATAACAGATATAAAAAGTAAAAAATAAAAAATAAAAAATAAAAAACAAAAAACCAATTGAATGAAACTAAGAATACTTTATATATATACAAACCACATATACATTATAGCGAATACGGAACTAGTTTTAGTTTATACAAAGCAAGGGAGCAGCTTTCAAACTTGAAATAAAACAAAACAAAACAAAACAAAACCAATCCAATCCCCAAAACCAAACTTTGTTAAAAACTAAATACAGAAAGGAGGAAAGAGGACGAAAGCTAATCTATTAAATAATATACAGTGACGTTGAGTTGGCTAGAGCGGAGGACGCGGCAACAAAGTGTATCTATATATGATATATGATATATATATACAAGAAACAAACACATATATAGATATATCTACTGTTAACTTTTTACGCTAAGTTTTTAGTGAGAGAAATGGTTAAATTTTTAAAGTAAAACTGAAAACTGAAAGTGGAAAGTGGAAAATGGAAAACGGAAAGCGGAAAACTGTAAACTGAGAGCTCGACAGGTGTAAAATGAGTAAATTAAATATAAATTTAGCATACATATACATATATACGGCATACTGATTATGTTACGATATTTACATTTATATAAAGAAAAGATGCAACAAGCCCCGGAACTCCCCTCTGAGTAAAATATTAAAATCAGCAGCAGGAGGAGCTCTCCGGGTCCCAATAAAATAGCAAACCGAAACCAGGAGAAGGTAAACAGAATTCATTATATATACAAGCAACCTCTTCTCTACATACGAGTATATGAAAGAAAGGCATTATACATATATGATATAAGATTAAGTAGCTCTAGGCCGACTGTTGCACACATATATACATCTCACCCACACACACAGACACACCCTCACACCCACACTCACAAAACCTCTGGCATATGCTAATGAGGGCCCTCTGGCCGCTGCCCATGACAGATACAAATGATCATCCGCAAGGAGTCACCCACAAACACACACACACACACACAAAAAACATTCTCTAAAAGGTGTACAAAAAAGCAATATAAACACTGTGAAGGGATGGGATGGTGATGGAAGTGAATGCTAGCCACAGTGGACATTGTCCAGACTGATCCAATGGGCCCGATAAAAGCCGAGTTCTTTATTTCTACTACGCTTCTTTTCAAGCATTGGATTCTGAAGAGATTCTCCACACGCATACATATGGTACAGGCGGCATATATTCGATTTCAGATCTCTCGGAATTTCCCGGAGCTGTTCAGATAGTTGAAAAATGTAATGCATCCGTGATTCGGTCATAGTTTTTATCTAGCCTATGTTTAGTGCATCTTAGTCAATCTTCTTATCCTGCATCTAAAATATTTTCACCATTTAGACACCCCACAGATTGGCTTTAAGTTTTTTCCTCATCAGGAATGCTCACTGTACTTCGTTATTAGTCTTTACTTCTACTGTTTCCTACTGTCTTGCATGCTCCCAGGGGCTCAGTGCACTCTCATCGACTCTTTTCAGTCCGTGGCTGCACAACGTGGCGTATGCGCAACTTCTTTTCTTTCTGGCTCCCAGCCCCGACCTTCCGACGATACCAAAAATTTGTTATTTATATTTCAACGAGCAGGGCTCGAAGCATGTTTAATTTCAAACAATTCTATTGCGTTTTTTAATGCCCAAACACGAAAAAGAAAACGAAAATAAATAAATCGGAGATCTGTAGCCAATACAATCCAATATTTACGCAGACCAGTTGTAAACAAATCGGTACGAGTAGTGGAAGGGTCGGACAGAGGGTAGTGGCACACGAATGTATGTTGCATAAAACAATAATAAGACGAGGAAGAAGATGAAGGATGAAGATGAATCATGAATCGAAGTATCCGGAGACATGGTACTCCACACGAGTACATATACACCCATCCCAAACACAATCGAATACGAATGAAACCGATTCGTTATTCATATGAAAATTCACACACTCACACACACACACACATAGACACGGATGTAGTTTTAGTTGATTAGGCGAATTCGTTTTTATATATTTGTAAATTGTTTTTAGGTAAATCGAATTATATACAAACATAAATCATACATGCATACATGCTATGTATGATCCAGATTATATATAAACTATGTCATACTGCATTATGGTTATTATTATGATTGAACGATTCAAATGATTCATGATTCTTGATACCGGAAAGGGCGAGCATCAAATGGAAAGACCGCAGGCGAAAAACTCGGTAAAAGGCTGGAAAAGCCGTTCGAGAGGCAGGAGTGCAGAAGTAATTCAATTCATTCTTAACAATAAAATGTAATCTGAATTATACAAAACCAAAAAAACAAAAAGCAAAAACAAAAAAAATCCAAAAGAGAAAACAAAAGAAAATCATAAAGAAAACATTTTGCACAGTTTTACTTTGAAGGGGGGAAGGGGATGCAAAGACTGAGCAACAGTTTGATTGCCTTTATTATTCTCATTGTTCAATTAAAATGAAGAAATTTCATTAATTGCCCAATGGCATTGTTCGATGTCCGATTTTGCATTTATAATCCACGTCAATGAAAAGCCAATCAATTCCAAATGGGACTCCGCACAGCGGCAATAGTCGGACTGTCGGACAGCCGCGGAAGCAAAATCCGACTGATCTGCCCAAGGGGGTATTTATGAGGGAATCGAATCCGATCAATGAACTTAAGTTCGGAGGTAAGTGAGTTATCGAATGCGTTCCCACGGAGGAAGCCAGTAGATCCCAGGGATCCCAGCTGGGCCAGGCTATATACATAGATGTAAGCTTCAGGCAATAATCTGATTGACATGTTTTAAAGAAATCCCACTGAGATCCAAGTGACAATCCCTTTCAGTCCTTCTGGCAATCTGCCATCAAGTGGCCACTCTCAAAGTCAATAAACTCAGTAAAGTCATTGAAATAGAAGTTATTTGAATCAATAAATACTCGCATGAAATAACATTTCAATATCATGCTAAACTGTTGCCTGGCTCAATCAGTAAAGGATTCATATGCCAACTCTAGTCGTGAGGGCCACCTGATGCTTGGCAAAACCCCTCACAACTTTGTTTGTGTGTCTTGGGAGTGGGAAGGGCTTCATTTCTGCCAAGTTCAGCAAACTTTTGTGGTTCAGCAGGACGAGTGGACAATTGTCTAACTCGCATTTGATAGCCATAAATAAATGCACCCCGCCGCCTCACCACAACCCTGCAGTCAGTCTCAGTGGCCATAAAAACGTGCCACACACACAGGCCGAAAGAGAGAGAATCTCGTACGAGAACAGCCACAGCAACAGCAATTGAAGCATTAACAACTACAACAACGACACCTGCGCGCCCCGTTAAAGGCAAATCCATGTTTGGGGTAAACTAAAACTTGGCCGCACTTGCCACATTGAGGCATTGGGAAGAGTAGATTTATGGCCACATATGTATGTAGTACACGTTGCGGCTTTCTGTGGCAAGGTCGCCTTTGATGAAGTCAGCAAAGCAAATAGTTTTCCCTGCGAGTTCCCCTTGAACGTTATCGGATTCATAGGAAGCTGAGCATTGGATTTCCATTTGTGATTTAAAGGCCAAATGGGAGGAGACTTGCTTATATCATCAAATTGTTGTATATCCTACATCCTTCTCAAACAAAAGTAGCCTCCTCTATGAGTCTGGCTCTACAAAGTCCAGGTCCCTCTGAAGGACAGAAAGGCGCTACGCTTCAGGCCTTTTGGTAGGTCTTCAGCTGGAATCTACTTTGTTTTCTTTCTGAAATACAGGTCGATAAGAGCTCCATTCAACATTATGGATTCCTAACAGATTTTCGTGATTTTGGCAATGTCAAAACCATGAAAGAAATGAAAATTGTTTCAAATTTATTTTGCGAAAAAGCGCAGACATTGAAATATTCAGCAACCATAAGTGCCGTGCGTCTTTTAAGCTCGATTTTTGATCAAAGCCCCATGTAATCTAGGCTTTTGGCTCGCGGGGCTCTCTCCCCAAAGGGGACCGGACCCGGCCGGCCCCCGGCTGGATGAACTCCTCGGTTTTGGCCATCAATTATGTACAAAGATGAAGCGGGAAACTCTGCTCGGCCCGGCTCGAATATGCAAATACATAATACATGAAATTTTCACTTTGTTTTTGTTGCTTGTGTTTCGTTTTTTTATCCATTTTGCGAGTTTTTTTGTGGATTGGTTTGGCTTTGCAATTTTAACGCGCTTCCGTCAATTAAATTCGCGAGGCGTAACTGGTAAACTGGTAAACTGGAAAATTGTGTCACACACAAACCACACCCCAAGCCCCAACCCGCCCCGGTCCAACAATGGCAGTTTATGGCGATTGGGGGTGGGGTGCAGTGGGGCGCGTGGTGATGTGGCGATGCACATGAATGTTGCACGTTGCACATGCGGTGGCGCTACTGCTTGTTGTCCGATGATCGACATAGTTAAGTGAAAATTTATTGCAGAAGGAAATGGCCGGGAAGAAGCAGACGGCCGGGGCGGGGAGACTGGGATACAACAGGCCTGATGTATCGGTTTCCGGGGCTTAAAGTTGGATAATCCCTGCCGGCACGGTCGGGCTGAAGTGAAAGGCGATTCGGTTCGGTTCGGTACGGTTCGGTACGGTTCGGGCCGGGTTAACAACATGTTAAGCAAAGTTTGGCCATTGGTTTGCTTTTGCTGTTGCTGTTGGCCATCTCCAATATTTATCTCTGGGTAAAGTTTTTCCCCTTTCCCATTTGGCCTTGTGCCAGTTTTCCGTTTTGGCTCCCCTCCACCGCCGCCTCCAATAAATACCCCGCACAAATATTGACGCAGCGTTTTTGATGGAAAGGCTCTCAGTCGGTTGCACTTGACTTGACTTGACTCGGATCGGCCCCGGACTGGATGTGATTCGATGTGGTTTGATTGGATTTGATTTGATTTGATTGCTGCCACCATTCACTCGAATGTGGTGCTAATGACCCGATACCAGCCCCGGGCCGGGGCCACCGGCTGGGGCTTGCACCTTGTAGGCAATTAATTTTGACACTTTTCGCAAATGCGAAGACCTGGTGGAAAACCGGTCAGTGCTGCGATCATATATCATTCCTATTTTCTGATTATATCATCAAAAAATGCCTGCTAATTGCCGAAAAGTGCGGAGAGGTGCAGAAAACAGTCCCCAACAGTCTGCAGACCAATAAAGCGGAGTATCTGAAAGTTATATCATGTCAAGCGGAACAGCAGCGACAGGCAGAAAAGAAAACTAGCTGGATGAGCCAGACCAGCCGAGACCCGGCCATGCAACACCGCGAAGACAATGACCAAGTGTCGTGCCGGTCTGGATTTGTGATTGTTATGCAACAGCAGCGCGAAACCAGTTGATTAGCCAGCCGAAATGGCTGGAATGGCTGAAATGGCTGAAATGGCTGAAATGGCCCAAATGGTGCGCTTCCTGCATTACTCTCGTCGCGTCAGCCAGCGGCAAGAATGGCCAATCAAACGAATTGCCATCGTGTTGCACATTTAAATTGCAACCGGGGAGAGGCGGGTGGGGGTGTGTAAGGGCGCAGGGCACTTGACATGACGACATATTTCAGCGCACAACTCAATTTACGACAAACGTCCCGATCCGAGTCCAAATGTCTAACCAGGAAGCTAACCAAATCCTTGATGCATTTGAAACTGCAACATTGTGCCGGCGCCGGCCCCCCCATCCCCACATCCGCACACCGCCCCTGCGGTGGCCGGCGGCTGCCTGGCAGCCAGACCGACATAATCGCTGCGTTTAACTCAGGCAAAAGCTTCAATTACACTTACATCTCTCTCTGTCTCCCTCTGCTTGTGCTCTCTCTTTGTCTGCCTGTTCGGTGGCTTTTTGACTGCGACAGACAGAGATGGGACGGTGACAGATGGAGAGAGAGAGGGAGAGCGGGAGAGTGAGGCTTGTGGCTTTGAGCTTGAGTTGTTGCTTTTGATGTTTCTTTGGGTTTTCTTTTGGCTTTGGCTTTGGCTTTGGTTTAGTTGTGGTGAGTTTTCATGATAGTGATAGCCAGGGTGGCAGGGCACCCTACTCGGCATATTGGAGGCCTGCGGAAACAGAGATTTAGGTACATTCTTCTGGGATTATCTGGGACTAATAAACATCTCTGTCTGTAATCCCAGGAAGGCACGTGCATGTAATTCCAATTTATTTTCCTTTGCCATACTTGGAGGAATCGATCGGCTGCAGCGCCTTGGCCGCGTCGGTGCGAGCCGCAGCCCCTTGGAACCGTTGAAACCTGGGCTGACGTCCGTTGGCCGTGCCGCAAGTCTGGACCTGCCGGGCGGGTCTCGGTTTGTCGCACTCGCTGCCCCTCCGTTGGGGCAGTGTTTTTGTTTTTTGTGCCGTGTTTCCACTCCGGCAACTTCGTGTCACTCCATTGGCCCGCTCTCGCTCTCGGTTGCCAGTTGTGGCATGCTTCACTGTAGCAGCAGCAGCAGCGGCAGTGGCACTCATAATTTTTTTCTTCGCTTTTTGCTTCATATTTAAGCGGCTGCAGGCGGCAGGTCCAACAGCAATTTCGTTTCCACACGCGTCGACGATGGTTAACCAAAATCCGCGCTTTTAATCCAATCCAATCAAACAACAGCATCAGAAGATACGAATTAATCCGCGAACAACAATGCATTTGCCCCAAGGAGTAAGTGTTCCATTGAGCGTAGTCCTCCCTGCGCCAAAGAAAAGGTCTATGAAAAAGCCAGTGCAAAATACTCGAAATAAAAAAGTGAAAAAAACAAATATGCATGCAGTAAACCTTGTATAAATTGAACTCCCCTTAGAAAGTCCGCCAAAAAAAAGTGGCCAAAAAATACGAGAATAAAAAACGCTCCATTTTGCAACGAAGTTTTCTTCAATCGCGCGTGAAATGAGTAAAACATAACAGAAACAGAAATGATGAAATGAAATGGTCAAAACCACAAAAAACATAATTGGTTTTTTACGATCGAACATGAAAAGAACTCTCCGTTGGCCCATAAACAGTTAATTCAACCAAATTGTGCAACAAAGGGAAAGTCACTTTGCCGAAGGGGCACCACCAGTGGGGCGGGCATGAGGATATCCATTCAAAGACATTATTTGGAGCCATTCCTTGAATATCGAAGTCATGATTAAATAATTTACCAATCTTTTGCTTAAGGAAAATGGTGGCAATTTATCCCAGTCCTCATGGATTTAAATAGTTTAAAACTCCTCAACTTGTAGATTAAAAACTCATTTGTTTTGTTTTATGTTTTCAACAAAAATCTCCCCCATCAAGAGGCTCTGCTGTTTTTAAAATGGGACTTCCAAAGAAAATTATTCCGGATTTTCGCAGCTCAACGGAAAACCATTTGATAAAAAGATTTGAAGGATCCGAGGGGAAGCCCCAAAACGGCTTGACCTCCACCCCCATCGTCCTTCTCGTGCTGCTGACAGCTTCTGTCAATGCCCCATCAAAAGCAGTCGGCCGAGGAGGAAGGCGATCGGCCAGGCAGGGAGAGTGGAGGTCGGGATGGTCCTTCTTCTAGGCATTATGATAATTGTGTCGCGTGGGGAAGCAGGACGTAACCCCGCATGTACTGTACTGGACCGAATCGTAATCCTTGTACTCGTTTCCTTTCAGGCGCTGAGCTTTCTCTTTATCACTTGCGTGATGTTCACGCTGGCTGGCGGCCATCCATCAAGCGACAAGCTGAAGTAAGAGGCAGTTCCCACTCCACCGAAGTGCCTGGCACGCCTTTAACGACACACTTCGTGCCACATGAAGCTGATGAGCATATCCCTTCCATTACAGGATCCGCATACACGTGCCGGTGAAGCACCACACACATATCCACACGAAGACGGTCATTAAGAAGGTCCCGTTGCCCATTCCAGTACCGGTCAAGGAGCACCACGAGCCGCCCAAGAAGCACCACAGTCGCAGCCACCACCACCACCACGAGCACCAGGAGGACGAAATGGACGACGACTTCGAGGGCTACGAGTATCCCGTGAAGGCCAAGCGACGCACGCGGCATCCCTTTGTCTGAGTGTCTGCAGGGGCAGGAACCACCCACAAGAGGCCCCAGCCGCCGCCCCCCGCCCCCCACACTCCACGCAGCGGGGGAAATGGAATCAAATGAAATACAATTTACGCAGATTAAGGCAAATACGAGTATAAACCAAAATACGAGCCAGCATGAAGGCGAAACATAAAGGAAAGGAAGGACAAAACAATGGAAGGAAGGAATGAATGAAGAAAGAAGGGGAAGTCTGGGTCTGATTTGTCACTGGTTTTTAGTGTGTAAGCAGAGTAAAAAAGGAAGAAGGAGTAAAAGGAGGCGCCACACACACTTCTGTGCAATAAAGTAAACAAATATTACATTTAAGCACCATTTAAAGCCACGTCTTAAAGTCCATTCTCTGGGGTGTTACTCGGTTTGGGTATTTCAGCCAGGCCAGGCCAGGCCAGAGATGCTGGAACCCCAACCATATGGATTTGAGCACGATCGAAACTGTAAGCTCTGGAACCTTTATGGCAATTAGCAAATCCCACGAAGTTTGGAACAGGACGCGAAACGTACAAGATGTTTCACTGAGTTTCTACCCAATTTCTTGGTGATCTTATGAGCCATAACTCTAGCCGGATTGATAGTTCTACTATAAATCCTTTTTTGTTAGAGTTCCGTTCAAAATCCCTTTTCCGATTAAATAAATTTCACAAGAATGCAAATGTGTTTAGGTTTAAGGTTTCTCTTCCATTTTCTCCCCCGTTTCTAGACGCATTCTGGCCTTGGAGGAGCATTGCAGGGACATGTTCGACGGAAAAGTTCTGAAAATCAGGAATTTCCGTCGTGTGGCCTGAATCTGAAGCCCGGAAAACCAACAAGATTTAAATTGATTGAATTGAGCATCTGCAGCTGTTGCTGTTGCTGTTGCTGCCGACGCCTGCACCTTCTGTGGGATATTTGTGCATAAATAAATGAAGGAACAACAGCGGAACCAACAGCAAAGTAAACTAAGGGCCGGAGATGTTTGTAATGATGTTGTGGCTCCCCGAATCATCTGCCCCGGCAGCGCCTTGGAGTGGGGCCGAGCCCGAGCCCTGGCTTATGCCATGAAATATGCATGCTCAGCTGTGTCCCTCGGTCTCCGGTTATGTTTCTGACTCTGTGGCTGGAGCCGAGTCCTGAGCACGTGCTGGGAGGCCGTCTAGTCAACAGAAATGTTAAAGAATGTCAACAACCGCTTTCCATGCACGCCGCCTGTTGCCCGAGCAAGCAAACATCCCGGGGCGGCAGCTGTTGATAGCTCATTTCCACGACTTTAGCGCCACTCAAGTGCCAGCCACTCAAAGCACAAGCACAAGCACAGGCAGGAGCAGAGCGAAAGCGAAAGCGAATAACAAATGCCACTCATCATGTAGAGCCACTCAATTTACTGGCTCCACCGCCCACCCGCCGCCCAGCACTCAGCCGCTCATTGGGGGGGAAATCGGTTTAGCCGGGGGGGAGGGGGTCTAATTAATACACCCGAACACAGCGAGCATCCCACAAACATAGCATACTTGCACGCCACACCAAGCAGTGTCCGTGCAAGTGTGCAAGCAGCGAAGAGAAGAGAGCTTTTGCTGGTTATGCTGGCCACTAATCGACTGGGAGAGCGAGCTGCAGCTCCAGGAAGCTTTTACTCGATCAGAGGCTGTGCAAAACACACACTGGTGTTTATCGAAGCGACGCGTCGGAGCCAGAGAGCAGGGAAAGCTCCAGGTAGCTTTTCCTCGATCAGATCAGGTTTTACAAAGCCCTCCGTTCCCGCTTCCCAACCACTTCCCACTTCCAGCTTCCAAAGGAAACAATTTGCATTGGAGAGCGTTTTGGAAGGCATCCAAATGAGTAGCCTTTGTGGCCATGCCTTCTTTAATCAATCAGTAGAGCTGATAGCGTTGGTAATTCTTAGAAGCAATAAGACCTCATTACCAGACAGAGACTCTGCAGCGATCTCTTCGAAACTTTTGCGTAATTTGTCGAGCTAGGGGCAGACAGTTCACCGCAGGACCTTCAACCGTGCGTCTGGACTGCGGTAGTACAAAACTCCGCCACTCTGTGGGTGTCAGGCACATATATTTACTTAGCTTTTCGTGCTGGGGCTCCGGCGCTCTGGCGCTCCGGTTCTGGTGTCGTTGTTTGATTTCGGCGCTTCTATTTGATTAGGCCGCCTAAGCGGGCTACGTGCCCGGGTTAATTTGCGGCCCGAAGTGTTGGCTGAGGGTGCGAAAGTCTCTGCTAATGTGTGCGTGTATCTGTGTATCTGTGTTGATGTTTGTGCTGGTGCTTGTGGTGACAGCAAATAAATCGCACGCATGTACCCACCCCCCACAAACACAAACACACACACACACAAGCACTTGCAATAACAAAAATAGAAAAATTGTGCATACCACGCATAACAATGAGAAAAGCTCACACGAGGGGAGTGGGAGAGGGGGGGATGGGCATGGGGGATGGGCGAATGGGAATGGGCCTAGACAAACTACTTTTTGGCTACTTAGTGATAAATATGCTGGCTAATCAAATGGGAAATGGATTTGTGAATTACGAGGAGGCATCCACGAGTGTTTATCCAGCCACAAATCCCTCAACTAATTTCCATTCATCAGCGATTCGGACGATTTGATGAGCCGTTCGACCCATAACAATGGGTTGCATAGGAATTCTGGGTATTCATTTCGCAGGAAGGAAAAACAAGCGTGAGTTCTCCTACTGCCAGCCAGGGACTTGCGAGCCCACTGAAGAGTATGCCAATTTCGACTTATCTCGACTCTCATAATTTTCTAGCTGGGCAAATAATAAAAGTTTACCCCACTCGACCCCCAGCCCCGTAACTACACATCTGCTTGAGCCGGAGGGATATTTGTCTCGAGTGGATAGCTCTTGCAAAGGGCCCTCCTAGGGCCCTCATTCTCCCCCGTGCCCCTGCCCAACCGTCTGCATATTTGAAATACAAACATAAAAGGACAAATTTGCTGACTTCGGTGAATGAACCGGGACAAAAACATAAACCATATAAACATATTGTTAAATATAGTTTATGCCAGAGGCTTCGGGCAGCTGCCCCTCCCACTGACCGACTCCCTTCTGCGTGTGTCCGTGCCCGACTTTTCACATTTTCCTTTTACGATTCCCGTCTGGCCTAGGGGCGGCAGTAGGAGAATGGCCGTGTATGTTTTATTACTGCCAGAGAGAAAGAATCAATATCAAATTTCGGTTTTATTATTTGCATAGTCCGAAGCAGTCGGAACCAGGGCCAGGGGCCACGACCCCGTTCGCCCACTGTTTTATGGCCACATTTAGCCAGAGGCTACGGAGAGGGCCATGGTCGCGTGGCACTGCTCTCGGTGCGCTTAATTCCCAATTAATTTGGGATTTGGCCAGTGCCTTCCGACCAGCTAATTAGATGGCCATAAAGCGGCCGCTAAATTCCGCCAGCATCTGCCGTGGCGGCGGCAGTTAATGCGCTCGTCACATGCACAAATTAATTACAATTCGACACCCCCCCCAGAGATTGGGAGGGGACTCCTACTACTACCATTTGGCTGTTGGGAACACCAAAATTAAGTGGCATATTTTAGAGTTTCGAATCTACCTATAGTTGTGCGCAGACACTGCTTTTTATCTGTAAATTCAGTTCGGAATCAGGAGACAATTCCAACAATAGACTGTTTTCCCCCACATATTATCATCGATTATAATCTAGATGTTCATTTATCGATCCAGCTGGTATTTATCTAAACATTGGTAGAAATAATAGTAATTTTGATTAAATAATGATTATAGTATTGTCTTTATAGCCAATTCAGATTGTCCATTAAATTTTCAGCAACGGAATTACGGAATTAAAATATCCCTCTCGTCTAATCCCATCCTTTCACTAAAGTACTGATGGTTAGATCAAAGTTTTTGTCTGTATTTTTTTGGAATTACGCGAGCGCTTAAGTGTATTCATTGAATCCAATCAATAGCTCTCAAAATAAAATTAATTGCAATCCCGGGACTATATACACATGTCAGTCAAAGCCAAAGAACTGCTCAGCTATACAATATATTATTTATCCAAGAACGAGTGTAAAGAAATCCGATTGAACCCTTTGAGCCAGCAGGCCTTATTTGTATTCATTGTTTCGATTGCTTCGGGCAGCAAACCCCAAACCCCAAACCCCAAAACCCAAATCCCAGTCTGCAACAACCGACTCTAGTTTGGTTAGTTTCCCGGAATCCCATTCAATCATCCGGCCGCCCATCGAATACCGCGAATGAACCCTTTCTAGGATGGGAAGGCACGCGCGTTGGGGCGGGCGAGCGCACAAAGGAATCTGCGGCAGCACGTGCAAATCGGGGGGGATTCATTAATACGGGCTTGCTGTTTCTCCCCCGGCAATTACCCCCAAATTTGTGTATCCTCGGGCATAGTGGTGCGGTGTGGTGGTGTGGGGCGCGTAACGGTAACAGATACAAGCCATGTACACGACACGCACAACACACAGACAAACAAACAGAGGAACAGCGAAACAGCAAAACAGCGAAACAGCGAAACTGTTGCGCGAAGTGGCCGTCGTTAATGAACTTATGCCTGGAACATGCACAGTGGCAGTCTCAGATACACACCCACACTAGCACACACACGAGGCAGTGACCTACCAACCTACTCACATGCACACGAAATGGCAACAGTTTGGCCATGCCAGACCGAGCGAGCGAGTGAGGGAGGAAGAACATTGGCTAACAGAGAACTGTTATCGGTCTGTTATGTGCAGAACAACGCTTTTCGCACAAGCCACGACGCTGGCGATGACGATGACGACAACGACAACGACAACGACAACGACAACGACAACGACAACACCAAAGACGACGACGATGTTCGCTCACTCGTTCGGGAACGCTGCTGCTGTCCGCTCCGTGCTGTTCCGTTCTCCATCGCTCGTCGTCCGTCCGTGCTCCGGGTACTGGGTACTGGGTGCTGGGTGCTGGATGCTCTGCTCTGCTCTGCCGCCGTTAGTTGCGGATAAGAAGCCGGCGCTGTTGGTTGTACTTTGGCGAGACGTGGATAACTAAATCGGCTGCGCTCGGCGCGGGAACGCGAACGCGAACGCGTGAGGCGAACGCGTGAGAATTACCAAGTTCATTCGATGCGGTGTTGCGCTAGGCTAGGCGGCGAGGGACGGTCGAGCGGCCCCACTAGCGTATATCTTTATCTCAATTTGTATCTCTATCTGTATTTTGGTCCGCAAGTGTATCTGTGAGTGCTGTGAGCTTGGAGTTGGAACGCTCAAACAGAGAACAAAACAAAGCAAATAAAACAAAAAGAAATCATACTAATATTCTGCAAACAAGTCGAGCAAAACAGGCCAATATCGTACAATTTGAATACTGCTGACTGTGCTCGTGGCCTGGGCCAACACCAGCGGCAGAGGCAACAACAACAACGGCAACGAAAACACCAACAAAATCCAGGCAGTGAGGTGCGTGTAAGCGAAATAATACGAATAGATCTAGAAGCACATACATACATATATGTAGCACCCCTCGTAAACATTTTGAGGCATGTTTGAGCCTAGGGCTAAGCGAACTGCATATATTGCACTACACATTTTCCAAAAATTTCGAAAAGAAAAACAAAATCGAATTTTATTTACTAGGGGAATATTTGTTTTCGTTGGGCTTTTTCGGGTTTTCGGGCTTTTTGGCGGCGGAAACAACGTCCGATTTTATTGGATATACAGCTCTATATGTCGGCCCCTGTACTGGATCTATATTCGATTCCATCTACCATATATGTATGTATGTATGGGTGGGTGTGTGCGTGTAGCCGCCACAAACAAATTTGTATTTATAAGATTTTATTTAAATATTCAAATATTCAGTTGTTAACGGGTCGTTAAGCCAAATTGCAGCCAAATTCTTGGCCGCAGAGGAGGAGAGGCAGCAGAGAAAAGCCAATTCGTTAGGGCTTTATCGATTTCTATGCTCGATTTTGATCTGTAAGTAAAAAAAAAATATATTCTCTAGAGCCAGAAATAAACGAGGTTTTTTTCGGAAACACGAAAGAATCATTAAATTCCCCAAAGAATCTGCCAAGTAAGCAGCAAACAAATGAGCAACAACAACAGCCACCATGGTGTATAGAGATATGTATAAAGACATATACGAGATATGATAAAACCATACAGAATGAGACCAGAAGAAACGCTTCAGGTTGGTCGAAGCCGGGCATACCCTGTGGAGTCAGAGAGCTGGGTTCTAAGTTGGGAGATCTTAGGAGTTTGGAGATTATAAAAGCAGTTGAACTGGTTTACACATAAGTACTTGTTCCACATCGTTTTAATTGATACAAATTAACAGTATGCATATAATGAGGTCTTAGTATGGTGAAACTTGTTTTTTAATATCAAATGAAACAAGCTATTTCTTGGGACAGAGAAAAAATGCATACCCTTGACTATGAGGCATATTTGTGCCCCAAAAACTTGTCTGAAAACGACGTTCCATATATGTATCTACATGTGTATGAGAGCTGGGTTTTAATTTAGGAGAGTGATCAGAAATCGATGTGGCACATTTAAATGACTGACAGAACGATAAGACCCGATTGAGGGGTATCGAAACGTGTTGGATTCTTTATTAGAAATGTATTTTCATGCCCCGAACGTGCTGGGGATTGCCTGGAAAACTAAAACAAATGCGAAACATGGCCTACTGCCCCACGTGCCCTTGCGGTTGTCACACCAATTTACTTCGGTCCATTGCAAACTACAGGGCGACGATGTGGCAATTACAACTGAGCCCCAAACTGAAACGGAGACAGGCACAGAAATTTAAAGCGGGAGAAACACTGGCGAAGGGATGGAACATAGCATGGGAAATGGTTTTGTACGTGCCCGAAATTATATCGCCTGTCTGACATCCAATCCAAGTAGGGGACATCGACACCGGTGGGCACGGGGCGGTAAGGGCTAGGGGCTGCATTTCTATTTGGTAAATCAATTACCCACCCACCGAAAACGCTTTGCCACACGTCTGCACTCGTCAATCATCAGCCATGCACACAAATAAGGACACTGCTCCAATGAAAGTACGAGTAACGAATGCATCCCAAATTACATTTTCATGCAGTCCAATCTCTGCACAATTGAGTCCCGGCTAATCCCAGAGAAAATGCAGCCCGACCAGATCTGACCCGTTCTGAGCGGCAGCCCAGTTAGCCATGTCAGCATTGTGAGCTCTTTTGGAAATTTCACAACTTGACAAATGTCGGGGATGATGGAGACAAGTGGCCCCGAGCTGCGAGATGGCCTCACTCCTTTGGTACCCATGCATCGATAGAATGGGGCAATATCAGACTGTAGCAATAACAGCTGTGGAGTCACTTCATCGATCCCTCAGCTTTTCAGAGGCTCTCCCTCTCTCGTTTGAGTACGGGGTATGGCAGAGTCCGTTCTGGATCACCCTCTCAATGTTGAAGGCATTCATTCCACAGCCGTTTACGACCGCAGCAAATCGAACATAAACTTGTAAACTTGTCATGGAAATGGCCCGAAACTGTTTTCATTGTTCTACGTAGCGAATTATAAAGATATATAGAAGGTGATGCCAGGTATGATTTGATTTATAAAGTACTGAGGGTTTCAGGGAATCGCACATCCTTAGTTGAGACATATTCCATAGTTTTTACTGGAGAATCGAGATTACTTTATGGAAAAATGGGACAAAAAAGGGGGCCATTTATGTATTATTTCAGTGGCTATATTTGATGGGCCACGCATCACGGCCCTGTCGAATCCATATCTTTAAAATTATTTGTTTACTGAGTGCCACCTTCATGCCACCTTTACTGTCCGCAGAAATGGTTGGAAATGCCAGGACATACCAGATATATTTACGACTATTACTTGTACTAGTACTAGACTTCAGCTGTAGGCAATGTCCTATTATTCCTTATTTTCTTCATGCGAAATATCTCTATGCATAGCTACAAATTGTCAAAAAAAAAATATTTACATATAAATAGATACATATGTATGTATATGCAGACTAGACATTCCATCTTTTCCCAGTTGATTGCTTGAAATGGGAAACTGGAAGCTGAATTTTAATGAAAATATCATTAAGGATACATTTCAGCCATGATTGCTGGAGAGGAGTACCTGGTGGAGGCTGGTGGTAGGGGCTGTCGTTGACATGGCAACTATTTATCATCATTTGTTACCTTCGGCCTGAATTAATTCACTTTATGCATTTTCCTGCTGCACGCCTGCTGCGAGTGAAAAAAAGAGGAAAACTTGTGCCGCAGCTGGAAAACTTTGTGCCAGCACGAGTTCGGAGAGTGAAAAGGGAGGGAAATGCAAAAACTTTGGACCGGAACGTTACAATCTCCTCTTGGTGTTTGACCACGGCATCGGACAGTGCCCGCCCAATGGGGCATTAATTAATTTGTAAGCCCTTGGCTGTCAATTTTGAAATGAGTATTTGCATAAGTTTGACATTAATAAACCACGAACAGCTCCTCATCCACATCCTCATTCTCATTCTCGTCGGGAAGGACACAAATTGAGTGTGAAATGCTACGCATCATTTAACAGCGGAGCAGGCGGGGAGCAGGCTGGGTGGGCCGAAGTTCTTTAAGGTGATGTTCGCTGGAACTACAGCATTTTGGCCACTGGCATCCATAAAGCATTTAACTTGACTGTCAATTACCCAGAAATAAATTATGAACACGCCCCCACATCTGCGACGCAGAAGAAGGCACGGACGAAGCCGAAGACGGTGCGGCGGAAGCGGAAATGGAACCAGGGCGAAATAGACATGTTCCTCCCCCTCCCCTCTGAGTGTGTGTGTGTGGGGGAGTGTGCAGAAAGCTCGGAATTATGCTGTACGACGAGTATATGTACATAATTTTCGCCATGAGAAGCGCTTAAGCTAGGCAGAGGCTCCTCCTTCTTCCTCCTTCCTCCTTCCTCCTTCCTACCCTGCAAAAGAGTTTCTTTCTCACTTAATTCTTGTTCTAGACAAATATTTACATATACTCGTACGATATGTCGTGCGTCAGTCAGTCGAGCTAACAAAAGGATGGCGTCAGCGCAGGAATTCATCTCGAGATGTGGCAACTTGAAATTATTTGTGCAAATTTTCTGTTGGGGCAGGCATCAAAAAATTAAAAACATTCTCCAGGTTCTACGAAGGGTTGAACATTACGCACTGCCATCCATCTACAAAAAGCCCTCAAAGGATTACCGAAACGAAACGAATGAGCTTGAAAGCAACATGCAAATATTTTTTACAACAAAATTGTGGAATTTTTCGTTTATTTGTTCTGTTTTTAGTTGCAGAATATTTTGTGAGATTTTATGAGTAGGGATATGGGCATTTAAGGGTTTTTTTGGTTACTGAAACACCGATTGTTCACAGCTAATCGACTCTGGGGAATTGCATTCAGTTAATTTTTGTATTTTTTTACACATAAATATTAATATTATCAAACAAAACCCTTTTTCCATTCGAATTTAAATCGTAAATAAATTACAAAATGCAGTCTTGAATGGAATGAGACTTGTTTTGCGGGTTCGTCATTCAATCAAATTATATTTAATATATTCATGGGTGAGTGTGTGTGTGATCCTCCCACACATACATACATATGTAAATAGCTACACAGCTGTGTGCGAGTGTGCAAATAAAAGCGTAAAACTTAAAAAAAAACGAACGAAAGTGAAAAGCCAGTAACGCCCATACCATCTGCCACTCGTCCTACTCCTGCCACACCGCCGCCCGCTGTTTCTGCCCCCTTCCGCTGCCTCTGCTGCTCCACCTCCTGCATGTCGTTGTCGTCATCTTGGTCTTATTGCCACAACTTTTGCCAGCATTTTGTAAATGAATAGAAACACGGACACACACATCCACACGGGCTCTCTCTCCCACCCAACAACGCTCTACATTTGTTTACACTTTTTCCCTCTTTTTCGCTTCTCCTTTGCACATTTGCACACATACATACACACAGAACACACTCGCAGACACAGACACAGAGACACATGTTTATTTGTTATTGTTAACCTTACCTCAAACACATTTTTATGACATTCAATGGCAACGGCAGGCAGTGCTGGAGACCAAAACTCCATCGACACCTCGCCATCCCTTGCCTGGCAGATAGGGGCCGCTGTACACGGCGTATACGTAATTATGTCGATGACGTCACTAGTCAGCAGCGACCGCAACGCGGAGACGGAGACGGAAAAAGAGCCAGAAAATAATATCAAAATTCCAAGTTAATTTCCATCTTAGTTTCGCTAGAACTTCACTGGAAACTTCAAAGCCATTTTCCTTGATGAATGGAAACTTTTTACGTCACTGGTTTTTGCGGCCAGGCCGGAACCCTTTTGCCGAGGGATGTGATGTGGGGAGGACTCTGGCACACTCTCATTACCGTACCCGTGCCCCATTTCTTGTGGGTTACAGCTGTATT